AAGAAGAGACATCTGAAAATACAAATAGCTACAGTGAAGGCCACATGTGTTTATGTAGTACTGATTGAGTACACTTCTCACAAATGGATTCACCCACAACTAGAATATTCATCTGTCTTTTGCTAGTGATGATTTACTAACTATCAAAAAGTTTTAAATATAATTTGAAAATGTTTTTGGAAGATAACAGACATGTATCCCAAACTATACACAGTAAATAACTTGTATTTAAAAAAAATCAAAATGTTTAAAATAAAATAGACTAACCCTCTGTACTTCCTGAGCATATAGCAATCTCTGATCAGAGAAAAGGCAGTGAAGAAATGGAACAAGAACAAGGTGTTTCCTGTCTTAAGTGCTGTCATTTGTGGCACAGCATTTTAAACTCAGTGTAATTTTTCCTCCTCCTCCGGAGGTCATTATTTTTGTTCATCACTAAAGACAACAATCCGTCCTTAATTCTCCTTTAATGATTACTTACAATTTCTCAGTTCCAGCAAATTGACTTAATTAGCAATCTCAATGTAAGCTTTATTTATACTGTTACTACAGAGATATTTGTAAATGGGGTTTTATTTTTACATTCACTTTTAACTGAGCTATATGGTTAAAGTGGGAAAGCAGTAGGTTTATATTTTAATATGGTTTTAAATGAAAATGAGCTTTTTAATTGAGATTTAGCATTTAGTAAAAAAGATTATTTTTTTGTAATATTTGGTAAAGCTGTTTGATTTAAAAGGTTAGGAAAATCAGTATTCCCAGTTGTGAGAAATATTCGTAACACTCTAAAGTATTTCATTTTGAAATACTTCTTCTGTTTTTGAATGTCCATCCATTGATGTAGTATATCCATGTATAACTAATAGTTATGTGTGTATAACAAATTATGGTTTGTCTCATTTAATCTATAAATGTTTTGCAGAGAGTGAGTTTTGGGTATAGCAATCAAAGATTTCGTACTCGGTACACAAAATACTGGCTGTGCTATAAGAACAGTTTCATCCCACAAATGAGGAAGACTGACTAATGAGTGGGTTCTGAATGCTTTTCTCTTGACTGGTATATCTTACTCTACAGAAATTGTTACACTACAGCATTATGTCTTCAAATAGCACATTGTGTTTCTTTCTCAAAAAAGCTATTTTGGCAAGAAAAGAGAACTTTTAAAAACAGTAATTAACTTCCTAAAATAGCTAATTTCAGTTTCCTCAAGTAATTCTGGCTGCTTATGTTGACATTTTGTAAGGTCCGTAAAAAGACATGACACTTGAAAATGTCTGTTAAGGATGTGTAGCCTACGTAAAGGAAATAACTTAAAAATCATATCTGACATAGCTACCAGTAATTGGGTACAATATCCAGGTTGACTTTTTTTAAAATAGCAGGGACCATATCAAGCCATTTTGCAGTAAAATCTGTGGGTGAGGGACAGAACACAAGAAATTGAAACGTTAACTTTGTGTAGTTTCCTCTGACAGTTGTTGTTGAAGGGACTGTTTGGGAGGGCTGCAGAGGAAGGGAAGTATGCAGCTTCCAAATCCTGTAGATCATGGGTGAAGAAAAGCTGCTGTCTTGTGAAGGAATTGGCCCCGATGTCATTTGTGAATGATTATTTTGTCCAGCTGGAACAATATTTACTGCCACACAAATCTTGTATCTACTGTGCTCTGAGATTTGTTTTATGGTGCAGTATGTCTACTCCTGGCCTTGTTTTCACTGGCAAAAGTAAGATCTATAATTCACTAATGCAGCTCTACTGGTGGTAGCAGTGGTTAAAGACGTTGTATTAAGTGGGACTCGGGCATTGTTACTAGTGTTGTCTAACAGTAGGGTTAGATGATGGTAAAGGCTTATAAGCAGGCCTGGACACTCTACAGCTTCCACTGTTGGTACCACCATCAGAACTGCACCAGAGGGCACTAATGAATCACAGGTCCTATTTTTGGTAGTGTAGATACAGCCCCTGACTCACTGAAGGGGAGCCACAGATTCACCCACTTTCTCACACCCAACCCAGTTCCACCAGCCTCAGCCTGCCTCCATTTGTATTAATGGGAGCAGGATCAACACTTGGTTTTTAAGTCAAAAGTGAAAACTGAATGGTCTATTTCATGATGCTAGTTAGAAGATGCCTGTCTATTCAAAAGAGGCACGAGTAGTTCTGTTTCTGTATCCGTTTAATCTTCGTATATAGTGTTGTTGTAACCATGCTCATCAAAGATATTAGCAATACAAGATGGGTAAGGTAATATATTTCAGTGGCCCAGCTTCTGGTGAGAGAAAGACAAGCTTTCAAGCTTACACAGAGCTTGAAATATGTGTTAACTACTTATGCTAGACAATGTGTTCCACCTTATATTTAGTTGTGACACTGAGTACATTTCCAAGACCTGAAGAGCTCTGTGTAAACTCGAAAGTTTGTCTCTCCCACCAACAGAAGTTGGTCCACTAAAAGGTATTCACTCACCCACCATGTCCATTTAATCTTGGCTGTCTCATTAAAAAGAGCAAACTATGGGGAGGGAGTAAGGAAGGTTTGATCATGGACATTTTGTGATGTAAACACTAGTTGCTAGGAACTGAACTGAGACCACAAGGTCACTCAACTACCATCTGATTATTATAATTTCCTGTTTTTACCAAACAGGGCTGTATTCATATTGGCAATCCTGGTAAAAGGCTTCCAATTTTCCATTAAGAATTCCTGAGCCTTCCAGTCCCTAATGTCTTGTTAAGGATGAAATCTTTTTAGGCGGGAAGTGGGGGAAGAAACCTTTAAATCCAAAGATGAACAAATATGCTGTGATTATAGACAGTCTGTCTTAAGTGTTGCTTAAATGTACTTTTCTCAGATGAATTAAATGTTTTCTCTTTGGTCCATATGAACCACTTCAAACTCTTGTCATTTTGTATTCTTTACATTCTCTCTCAAACTGCCTTTTTTTTTAAACTGAATGACCTTGTTTCATTTCTGTATAATTGGAAATGCTGATTCCTGATCTGCTGTTTTTTATTTTAGTAGTTATTTCTTTTGCAGTCTTTTTCCAAGCCACCTTCCTAATAATGGTTTTGAATAGAAGAGGCTCCTGGGATTGAGGGAAGTCAGCTATGTTAATTTCAAAGAGCTCCAATCTTCAGTATGATGTTTCCTAGCAACCCATCTTCCACTCTTGCCTTTGGTGAACAAGGGAGGGGAGTGAGTGTGTTTTCTATTGATTCATTCACTCGAGATCTAAGTGTCCTGTGGCTATAGCAACACAAACCAGAGGTGTCTTCTCTCTCCCCCTCCACCCCCTTTTGGTTTAGGATCCCTGAAATATTTTCTAGGAGGACATCCATAGGGTAGCTTTTCTGACTGTAAGCAGAACAGGCTCTGGTAGACTGCTTTTCTATCTCTATTTTGAGCACTATGCCAATACCATAAGAATTATCTTAGAGGTAAAATGGCAATAATTTCACTAGCTAAAATAAGCAGACTAATCAAACTAATACTGAATAATTTTAAAATAAGAGTACATCTCTACACCGGCCAGTGTAGACCAGGTCTAACTATGTTATGAACCACTTTGCAAATTGTTGTAGCCACACTAGGGAGGGTTCATAATAGGGACAACTCTAAATTAGGGTCCTAAACCCTAATCCTGCAAACACTTAAACATGAGTAATTTTATACATATGAAGTTATTGTTAGACTAAGCCTGTGCTGGCCAGAGAAAACTTGTCAGCAACCTTTCTGACAAGAACAATCTTTGAAAAGAGTTTGGGATAAGTGTTTTTCCACTGTAGATTAGACATTTGAGATGAAATCCTGGCCTCAGTGAAATCAGTGCAAAACTCAATGAACAGTGGGGCCAGGATTTTATGCTTGACTCATATACCAAAATATTAAGCATCAAACATTAAGATGTTCAATTAAGAAAACTTTACACTTAAAAATACAGTATTTGACTCATCAGTAGTAACAATCCATTATCACTGCAGCATGTGGGATTCCTTAAATGTGTAAAGTTGCTCAGATGCGTAAAAGTTTCAGGATCAGGGCCTTCATCCAGAAGATGGTTACATCTGGTCTATGCTTACCAGGGAAATTGTAGAAACTTTCACAGGCACCTTACTGGGAACAATGCCTTTTAAAACTGGTTTTGGATAATATGGTCCCTTGTATTGTAAACAAATACTTAATGCTAGCATTTTAAATTTCATCATTTTTATCAAGCCAGTACTGCCCAGGCCTCATGTGAAACGATCTGGATAAATATAACATGAGAGCCATAAAAATGTGGTTTTTGTTAGTTTTACACTGAACATTTTGCATATTCTGGTAAAAGATAACTCCGTATTCTGGTTATTGAATATTCTGAATCAGTGTGATAGCATCCAAAAACTGGATATCTTTGAATGATCTGCAAGAAATGGTAAATGGCAAACTAATTACATTTATAGATGGTACTAAATCAAAAGGTGCTCCAAATATCAGCAGGGACAAAAGATTACCAAGTCGGATGTTAAAAATAAGGGTGAGATATGAAATTAAATCTGGAAAATACAAACCAACAAATCTAGGGGGAAATAATTGTAAACACAGATATTCAATTAGAGATTCTTGGAAAACAATAATGCCAAAAAGTATCTACAGTGATAATGGACAGAAATTGGATAGGACCTTGCAATTTGATATGGTAGCAAAGAAAGCAAAAGCTATTCTGAGCTGTCTGCAAAGGCATTATGTCATGGACTAGGGAACTGATTTCTCTGTACAGCACTGGTGAGACTGCACATAGAATACTGAAACAGTTCTGGGAAATTCAATACCAGAAAGCGATTCTTAATTCCTTCCCATTTTGTTAAATGCTAAATAAATAAAAATAAAGGCCTGGAGGGTCTACCCTGGGGGGAGGGGGCGGTGTGTGTGTGTGTGTGTGTGTGTGTGTGTGTGTGTGTGTAT